ACTGCCCTGGGCACGTCAACAGGTGCTGCAGCTCAGGAGGTACCTGGCACATAGGCACACATGAAAGTTCAGAAAAAATCAAAACCCACAAGCTTCCAGCAAATGGATTAACTCCAGTCACAAAGTGAATTGTTCCTGTCTTGTAACTTGAATAGGATTATATAAACAATGACAAAATACTTGGAAGAAAGATTTTTGTTCCTGTATACTTTTGCTGAGGGACACGAAGAATGCCTAATGAACGAATTTGGAACTCTCATACCTTAACTGAAGGTGGATGGGGCTTTAAAATTATAAGAAATATCATTTCCCACAGCCTAGCTCCGTTTGAGGGCAGGACTGTAAGGAAGCTCAGTGTTCAGTGAGGTGTTAATGTAATTTTATGTTTTTAATTTCCTTGGTTTTGAAACCACCCAAAGAAACAATTTAATTGCTATGCATGCTATCGTTTGAATACTTCCAACTGGGCTTTTTAAATTAATGCTTTATTGAAATGGAGAGGTTAGGAAAGGAGTGACTCTCCTCTACATTTTACTTGTTGTATTTGACTAGTAACAACATCATTTTACTGACCATATACTTAGTCATTTTACAGGCTCTTACTATTTCTGTGGCATTTCAACAGGAAAAAGAGATTTTTAAATTGAAAGTCTAGAATTAACAGAATATTACAGAGACTCCAAAATCACTCTTCACTTCTGCCTGAAACATCTCTTGGGTTTGGTGTTGGGTTTTTTTTTGTCTTCTGATATTTCTTTACAGGATGTGTTATAAGAAAGTTATAGTCTTCCTCACACAAACTTGCCATTAACTTGTGTCTGATGTCAATCCATGCATGGGAAATGCAGTTACTAAAAGTATGTTCTGCTAAGACCTGAGCAAATACACTTGCAGTGACAGACCTTTCAGATGCTAACCTCTTCCACCCAAACAAAGTACAGATATTCATCTGCATCAGGACTTTTCCCAAGAAAGTTTTTCAATCTTTTTAATATGACTTACTCCTGACTGTAAGAAAGGTACCTCTTCTACCAAGGAGTAACTCAGAAAAAAAGTGTAAATTTTCTTTACATTTGAACAATTTTACTGCATTGAGCAATTATTCAATTGCTCACATCAAACCTGAGTTTAGATGTGAAAAATTAGAGTCAAAGAGATTTTGGATAACAGACGCAAACATGAGACCTTTAAAGGAAATGGCTTTGCAACCTTTACTATACTGGACACTTCCAGTCCCCTGCTAGAGTAACTAATTTTCCACTTTTCAGGGAAGAGTTTAAGTGAAACGCTACAGACTGTACTTCAGGCACTCTATGGGTTAACCTTCTGTTGTAGTTATTCTTTGACCAAAGTTCTGTCTGATACATTTTGCTAAGTTGTCTAAATCCTGCTGTAGTATTGATTTCTCCCTTTAAAAGCTCTCACCCATTCAGCAGGCTCCAAGGACCCCTTGTCCCAGCTCGATTCATTCTATAATGCAGCTGGGATATGTTATTCCTGACACCAGTCTTACAGTTACTAACTGATGTTAGAGATATAAGATGGTTTTAAGAACAGAAAGGGAAATGTTTCTTTACCACAGAGAAACATACACTAATTCTTATAACCCTTGGATAACTGTTTTGCCCAAAGAAAGATTTTTTTTTTTCCTTATTCTGTTACTTCTTGGAAACAGCTGGTTTTCCATTTACTGGGCACTTAACAGTAGATACATTGCATTTATTAAAAGGACAGTATTGCTATTATAATCCCAAGCCTGCAGAACTATTACAATTAATGAAAAGACACAAGCAGATATATAGAAAAAGAAAATTAACCATCCAGGTAGCATGGTCCAGAGGTTCTCTTCTCACAATGGGAGTCTGCAAGATAGGCTCTACATCAAGGCTTTCAAATTACCTTAAATCTTCATCGTTACTATTAAGCTGAATTGAAGGTTTCAGGGATTTCAGTCAAAGAACATACCCACGGAGGGGCCAGTCTTGAAAACAGTTGCTCACATGAGTAAAGTTTTTTTGTCAAATGTGTCTTCTGAAAGTGTGTCCTTAAACCCACTTTTTTTTGTGTTTTGCTGTCTGGTAAGTATATATCTTTAATTACCCCATTATCTTTAGTCTAATTTCAGAGAAGAAAGTCTGCTGCTTGAAGAAAAACACTTATTATGGTGCAGTATCACTGCTTCTTAGGCTGGCTTAGTCAGTTATTTTCTTCTATTATAATGCCAAATGTTATTTAGATTTCAGTCATTTAGTAATGCTACACTGAACACATCAAGGATTCTGAAAAATTCCATACCTACTAGCTGCCTCTTCATTTTCATAATAATCACATATTGATATCCTTTTTTCCCCAAAATTACACACACTGTTATTTAAAAAATATCTCAGTGTCTTAACACAGTTAAAGAGATTATGATGCAATGAACAGCAGTCTTCAAAAACATTCTTTCGTGTTATTAAGATACAGAAAATCTAGTTAAAATTCTTTCAGCTTTTAAGGAACCATAAGGAGCTTTGAGATGTAGAGCTTGACACTAACTTTTTAACAAACTCCCTTGGAGCTATCATCTGCATTAGTGAAGATATTTAGTTAAAGGTAGCACCCTACCCTGCATTACAGAAATCTATCAGTCAATTTAAATGTTGTTATTAGCTGCAGTTTGACAAAACTGCATC